TCAGTTATTAAACCAGGATGCTTATCTTTCCTCTCAACAGAGTGGGAAACCGTGTGAGAGCACATACTAGAGCATCAGCTCAAGGAGGAAGAGTGTGGAGTCTGGCCAAAGCTGTTCTTCAAACCTTCAAACTACCAACAACGCCCACAAAACACTGAGGATCCCCATTAATGCCAGCATGAACTTGAATTCTACATAATAGCAGAGGATTTATATTTTTGTATCATCTACAGTTTCTTAAGCTTTTCTTTTATTTATGCATACACTTTTTTAAAAAGATGTTTTTAAGGGTTCTTTAGTGATGACAATGGTTCTATATAGAACCATGAACACTCAAAGAACCATCTGTATGCTCTAATGGTTGCCTGCATGGTGAGATCATTTTTCAGACTGAAGGAGATTGTGTTGTGTACGGTTCTATAAAGCACCAAAAAGGATGTTCTTCTATCCTTACAAGCTTAACATCACAATAACAGAACAATATTTTTTGGTGCTCTATAGAACCATATACAACACATTCTCCATCAATCTGAAGAACCATTTAACCATGCAAGAAACCATTAAAGCATGCATCTTCTTTAAGACTTTAGCTTTAATGTCTTCACTATTTATTTAATTTATGTGCATTCATTCATTCATGGAGTACTATTTTTTTAATCTGGTATAATAAATAAATTATTTTGAAAGTATTTTTTGCATTCAGTGTGTTTGTATCAAAGAGAAATGACCAAAATTGCATTTTCTCTGCATCACGTTGGTTTAGCATTTTCTGCTTCTCACCATCTAAATAATCTCAACTCAGTGTATGATATTCGATATATGTTTGTTAGTTTTCAAAAGGCAACTAAAATGTACTAAAGCATACTTTTAAAGTTAATGCTTTAAAATACATCTAAATAATTCATTTATGTTGATGATAATTTAATATGCTTTTGTTTAAGTTTGAAGAAATACATTTATTCAAGAACACTTGCTTCCAACATACTAAAACATAACTTAAAATGGGTTGCTTTAAAACTATATATTTTCAAAAAATAGTTTTATTTCAGATATTTTTTAGATATATTTCCATAAAACATTTAAAAAGTGTTGTCTATATACACGGAAAAAAAAGTTTCTTTAAATTTACTTCATTCAGATGTGTACATTGGTTCCACATGTATGAAATATATTACATTAACACTAGTATTGTAGTTAGTTATTAAGTTAGGCAAGAATTTTGTTGGTTAAATGCATTTATTCATGTGGAACCAATATGCATATCTGAATCAAGTCAATTCAAAGCACCATTTCTTTCAGTGTACTTCAAGTACACTGTTGATGAGCTGAAGTGCTCTTGGTATTTAATATGTGGTTAAAATAATAATAACAATATATAATAATAACAATAAAAGCGACATGATACTTGTTTGATAGCACTACTGAACCCTTGAGTGTCTGTCCATGTTCACATCTACATTTTTGCCTTTAGAAATGATTAACTTTTAAAATGAATTATTTTTTAATTGAACCACCTTACAGTGCCATGCTCAAACACCTCCCACACTCTAATATCATACAAAAGAAATATTATAATATCTGACTTGAACCTTCTGCGTAACAATGATGAAACCATACCATAAAAATCACCGTTGTCATATGCTTCCATGAGCTCTCATTATATATTTTCCTCATTAATGTAATAGTGCCATGTTAACAGTACTGGTCATTGTCATGCCAGATCATGATACATACACCAATCAGGCATAACATTATGACCACCTCCTTGTTTCTACGCTCATTGTCCATTTTATCAGCTCCACTTACTATATAGGTGCACTTTGTAGTTCTACAGTTACAGACTGTAGTCCATCTGTTTCTCTACATACTTTGTTAGCCCCCTTTTACCCTGTTCTTCAGTGGTCAGGACCCCCATGGACCCTCACAGAGCAGGTACTATTTGGGTGGTGGATCATTATCAGCACTGCAGTAACGCTGACGTGGTGGTGGTGGTGTGTTAGTGTGTTGTGCTGGTCTGAGTGGATCAGACACAGCAGTGCTGCTGGAGTTTTTAAACACCTCAGTGTCACTGCTGGACTGAGAATAGTCCACCAACCAAAAATATCCAGCCAACAGCGTCCTGTGACCACTGATGAAGGACTAGAGGATGAACACAAACTGTGCAGCAGCAGATGAGCCAAATAGTACCTGCTCTGTGAGGGTCCATGGGGGTCATACTGTTATGCCTGATTGGTGTATATACCATATATGAACATATTAACACTTATGATATCTATCAATCTAGACAAAATAGTACCCCAAAATACATTTTTTTCAGATTCATCATTATTTTACCATTATCAACACTACACATAAAAATGTGTGGGTTCACTGGTTGGTTTGGATGGTCAAAAAAGTGGCTATATTTGCATTGTAATCATTGCGACCCCTGGAGGGAGGGGTGGTGGGGCAGGATTTCTCAGTTTAGCCAGATATCTTAAGCCCCAAGTCGAGCCTGTCCAACAGGAAGACAGTGACATTCCTATTGGACAATCCTCAACTTTGGGTTAGGTTATCTGGCAAAAAGAGAAGTACTGCTTTGTGAAATATGCCCATGGCTCCTATCACCGCCAATTAAAAGAAATCTGAATCAGCAAGTTTCTCTTTATAGAAGTACAGCACATCAAATCACTCTGAATGACTGTTTAAATCTCAGTGACTCAATTATTCCGAAATTCTGAAAATTGGTAAATGCTTATTTTTGCGAAGTTAAGTGTACTCTAGTTTGCTGTCATGACAAAAAACGTGACGGTTTCTCTAAGAAAAATCAACATTACTGGCAACACAGCACTCCGGTTTTACTGGACATGATCTGTTGACAACGTACGACATCTGTCATGACATATTTATAGCATGGTTATGTTAATGTTCTGTATCATCATTTGGCTGGTCATAATGTTATGCCTCATGTATACACACACAGTATATATACACTATATACACTATAAATATTCCTCAGTCAACTGTCAGTGGTATTATAACAAAGTGGAAGCGATTTGAAATGACAGCAACTCAGCCACGAATGGTCAGCCACGTAAAATGACAGAGCGGGGTCAGCGGATGCTGAGGCGCATAGTGCGCAGAGGTCGCCAACTTTCTGCAGAGTCAATCGTGACAGACCTCCAAACTTCATGTGGCCTACAGATTAGCTCAAGAACAGCATAGAGAACTTCATGGAATGGGTTTCCGAGCAGCTGCATCCAAGCCTTACATCACCAAGCGCAATGCAAAGCGTCGACTTTTTTCCAAGCCATTTTGGGTCGTTTCTTTTGGTCTGTTCATCATGAAATTTACAATGTAAAGGACAACAGGCCTTTTTTTAAATTATGTCAAAAACTGAAAAATCACAAAAATGGAGATACGAGGGTTTTGTTCCCACATAATGAAAGGTGTTGAGTGGGTTGGACTGGCTGCTAATTCATTACCTTTAGTTAATTCATTACCAGGAACTAAAGTGAATGTTCTCACTGAATGCTTTACTGCTGGATCACTGCTTTCACCCATTTGCTGTTACATTGCTTAAAATCTTGAAGGTCTAATTCTTCCCCAGTTTAAGAATAGCAGCGTGTGATTGTACAGCTTCCTGCTTGGCGTCCACTTTTGAAATACACTAAAATTAGTAAGAAGTAAACACTGTCCACTGTGTCATCAGCATCGCTGATGTAAATCCAGACTCCTGCAGCACAATCCGGTCACAAACAGCACCTGAAAACTGTCAGGGAAAGTGAGCATCTTCAGATTGCTTGTGTAAGGGCAAACTGCATTCAGCCAAAGGATTCTCCTAAATGATTCTGAATGATCGGAAAGTGTGCATTTGTTCAGGCAAAGCAAAATAAGTGATTACAGGACTTAAAATAAAAGGTCACACATCAATCAAAGACAAAAGGAGAGTGAATTCCAATCTTTTTGCATACATGCTTTGACTTTGAAGATGTAAAGATGGATTAGATGATGCAGAAGTCTATCTGGTTACACCACTGAGGAATCTGACTGACAAAACTGCCGGAAGTAGAAGCTCTTACAGAATTTAGATCAGTGATTAAGCGCCCAAGCGCTCTGAATGACTGCAGAGGAACGTGTCACAGCGCACTATGAATAACAAATGTTTGCAACACTGATGCTGTTCATAAGAGAGACATCCCCATTACTGACGAGTATAAAGGAGCTGTGTTTGAAAGAGTTCAGTATTGAGGAACAGTAACAGTCCTACAGTCTCCAGCCCTCCAGACCTCATCAGCAACAATGCATCTCAGTCTGACCTCCCGTCAAATCATCTGCCTCGTTTACGCAGTGGCTTTCCTGTCCACCTGTGTGATAGGTCATGGAGTGAGTGCTCTTTATATAATACTGTAAAGAAGTTATTTATCAGTGTGCATTTGTGTTTATTCTACTGTCATACAGTGTTTTACTGTAAAAACATACTGCAGACACTTTTATTGCTACTTATTTATATCATCACTATCAGAACAATTTTTTTGTATCTCCAAAAAGTAACTTTACAAGAGAAGGAAAAACACTGGTTAATATATGTTAATGTAACACGTTTTCTTTTTTAGTCATTTTTGACCACATCTGATATTCTGTCATGACATTTTGAAAGCTGGTGTATTCAAATTAATCAAATTATGTAAAAAAATGGAGACCAAGGTGTTGTTCTTTGGGTGTTTGTATATAAAAATCATAATTATTTTAATTAAAACACAATATAATATATATATATATATAATATATATATATGTGTATATATATATATACCATATATATATATATACACACACATATATATATATATATATATATATATATATTGGCTCATTTGTTATGATTTAAAGAGTATTAGTGTTTTTCTGGGTTCATTAAGGCTATTAATAGACTTTTAATAGTGTTGATCATCTGCCTGTGTGATTTGTAAGACGTTTCTCTAACACATTCTGATGTTTCATTTGCTGTTTTGCAGTGTTTTTTAATGACAGCATGGTGAGAGCCTGCTGTCCCAGGACCACCCCTGGACCTGTTAAGGGCAAAATTTTGAGCTGTACATACATCCCGGAAAGTAGAAGGGGAAGGTGCAAGGAGGCCTATGTGTAAGTTACCTGGTGTTGAAAAACCAGATGTTTGTTTTGAGTGTAACTTTCCTCTCTGTATGTCTGAAGATAAAGGTTTTAGATGGTGATTCCCAGTAAAGGTTTAATCAAACGGAGGCGTGATTTGTGGACACTAGAATGAATGTAAGAAAGGTGTTTCACACCTGGTTTCTTGATCTGCTCAGGCTCACCATGACGAATCATTCGAAACACTGCATCAAAGTGGACAGCAAGTGGATGATTTCAAAGCTGGAAGAGTTAAAGAACGTGAGTTATGATTCCTCTGGCTGCACTCTTGTTTATCAAACAGGTGTATGAAATGAAAAGCCATGATAATGCTAGCAAAATAAATGAGGCTCAACGAAAGCTTCATCTTATATCTATTCTAATAAAAACATTGTTTATTATGCAAAATGTAATGCACCTAATGTAGCTAAATGTACCTAATAAATATCAGGGGTTATCATTTAATATAAATGAAAATAGAAAACAGGTAATATAACATAAACCTATACTCTTTATGGGATCTTCCACCAGACCAACTTCAGTTATTAAACCAGGATGCTTATCTTTCCTCTCAACAGAGTGGGAAACCGTGTGAGAACACATACTAGAGCATCAGCTCAAGGAGGAAGAGTGTGGAGTCTGGCCAAAGCTGTTCTTCAAACCTTCAAACCACCAACAACGCCCACAAAACACTGAGGATCCCCATTAATGCCAGCATGAACTTGAACTCTACATAATAGCAGAGGATTTATATTTTTGTATCATCTACAGTTTCTTAAGCTTTTCATTTATTTATGCATACACTTTTTTAAAAAGATGTTTTTAAGGGTTCTTTAGTGATGACAATGGTTCTATACAGAACCATGAACACTCAAAGAACCATCTGTATGCTCTAATGGTTGTCTGCGTGGTGAGATCATTTTTCAGACTGAAGGAGAACGTGTTGTGTACGGTTCTATAAAGCACCAAAAAAGATGTTCTTCTATCTTTACAAGCTTAACATCACAATAACAGAAGAATATTTTTTGGTGCTCTATAGAACCATATACAACACATTCTCCATCAATCTGAAGAACCATTTCACCATGCAAGAAACCATTAAACATGCTTCTTCTTTAAGACTTCGCTGGGACAGGGCCATGTTTACCACTGTGTTGCATCACCTCTACTTTTAGCAACACTCTGTAAGCATTTGGGAACTGACGAGACACTGCTGTAGTTTTGAAAGTGAAATGTTTTCCTGTTCTTGTTTGATATAGGATTTTAGCTGCTCAGCAGTTCGGGCTCGGGTTGTTGCATTTTTCACTTCATAAAGTGCCATATGTTTTCAGTGGGTGACAGGTCTGGACTGCAGGCAGGTCTGTTTAGCACCTGGACCCAGCAATGCTGTTGTAATAGATGCAGAATGTGGTTTACACTGTCTTGCTGAAATATACAAGGCCTTCCCTGAAAAAGACGTCATCTGGATGGCAGCATATGTTGCCAAAACCTGTATATATCATTCAGCATTAATGGGGCCTTCACAGATGTGCATGTCACCCATGCTATGTGCAATAATGCACCCCTATACCATCATAAATACTGACTTTTGATCTGTGCACTGATAACAAGATGAGTGGTCTTTAGCCCAGAGGACACAGTGTCCATGATTTCCAAAAAGAATTTCAAATGTTGATTTGTCGGACCACAGGACACTTTTCCACTTCCCCTCAGTCCATTTTAAATGAGCTTGGGTCAAGAGAAGCTGGCAGCATTTCTGAATCCTGTTTATATATGGTTTATTCTTTGCGTTTTAGAGTTTTAACTTGCATTTGTGGATGCAGTGACAAACTATTTTCACAGACAGTGGTTTTCAGAAGTGTTCCTGAGCCCAAGCAGTGATTTCCACTACAGAATCATGTCTGCTTTTAATGAAGTGCCGCCTGAGGGCCCAAAGATCACGGCCAGCAAATACTGCTTTTTGGCCGTGTTCCTTGCGTACAGAGATTTCTCCACATTCTCTGAGTCTTTTAATGTTATGTTGTACTGTAGATGATGGAAAGCAAAAGTTCTTTGCTATTTTATGTGGAGAAATGTTATTCTTGAATTGTTGCACTTTTTGCCCACACAGTCTTTCACGGAGTGATTAACCCCTCCTCATTTTTACTTCTGAAAGACTCAGCCTCCCTGAGATGCATGATATCCAATCATGTTATTGTCCTGTTGCCAATCAACCACCAGGTGTTTTTAGCATTACACAACTTTACCAGTCTTATGTTGCCCCCGTCTCAACTTTTTCGGAACATGTTGTTAACATCAAATTCAAAATGGGCATATATTTGTTTCAAAAAACAATAAAATTTCTCAGTTTCAACATTTGATATGTTGTCTTTGTACTACTTTCAATTAAATATCGGATTTAAATGATTTGCACATCATTGTGCATATACTTTAGATATTTTCCATTAAAAAAACATTTAAAAAGTGTTGTCGATATACTTCAAGTACACTGTTGATGTGATTAAGTGTTCTCTAGAGTTAATGTGTAGTTAAAATAATAATAACAATACGTAATAATAACAACTGGCATGATACTGATTTTTTCTTTTCTGATGTGATAGCAGTGCTGAACCCTTGAGTGTTGGTCTATGTTGACATCCATATTTTTTCCTGTTGAAATGATTTTAATAATGAACTATTTTTAATTCAACCACCTTACAGTGCCATGCTCAGACACCTCTCACACTCTAATATCATAAAAAGGAAATACCGTAATATTTGATTTGAACCTTCTGCATAACAACGATAAAACCACAGCAGATGTCATATGCTGCCATGAGTTCTCAATATAGATTTTGTAGATTTTGTTCATTAATATATCAGTTCCATGTTAATATTACTGGTGATTGTCAGGCCAGATTATAATACATATATACCATATATGAACATAATAACACTTATGATATCAATCTAGGCAAAATAGGACCCCAACAAACATTTTTTTCAGATTTATCATTATTTTTCCATTATCAACACTACATATAAAAATGTGTGGGTTCACTGGTTGGTTTGGATAGTCGAAAACATGGCTATATTTGCATTGTAGTCATTGCTGCAGGATTTCTCAGTTTAGCCAGATAACTTCAGCCCAAAGTCAAGCCTGTCCAACAGTAAAAGACTGACATGTCCTACTGGACAATCCTCAACTCTGGGCTTAGGTTATCTGGCTAAAAGAGAAGTCCTGCTTTGTGAAATATGCCCATGGCTCCTATCACCGCCAATTAAAAGAAATCTGAGTCAGCAAGTTTCTCTTTATAGAAGTACAGCACATCGAATCACTCTGAATGACTGTTTAAATCTCAATGACTCTTCCAAAATTCTGAAAAATCGGAATTTGGAAATAGTGGAATTCCCCTTAAAGAATTTTAAGTTATGTGGCTAAACTCTTGTAGTTATGCCACTGCATAACAACTTATGTCACATGCTTATTTTTCCTAAGTGTACTCTAGTTTGCTGTCATGACTGGTATAATATGATGGTTTCTCTCAGGAAAATTGACATTACTGGGAACATGACACTCCTGTATTACTGGACATGATCTGTTGTGACACCTTATGACAACGTATGATATCTGTCATGACATATTTATAGCATGGTTATGTCAATGTTATGTATCATCATTTGGCTGTGTTATCATGTGGCTGCTGCACATGATTAACTGTCATGCTGCACAAGCTTTCCTGCAATACTTTATACTAGAATGGACAGCTGTTCCTCCGATCGCTGATTTCGAAGAAAAGTGGGGATGAAGCGAATGATGATGTGGCAGAAATCTTGGGGTGGCATGTAGGGTGGACAATCAGATTTCAGGGTGTGTATGGTTATATATAGAACAAACCATTGTTATGATGTTAAACTTGTAACAAAAGAAGAACCCTTTTTGGTGCTAGAACCATTTTCAAAAAGGTTCTATATTGTACCATACACACATTTTTAAAGAGGTGGTCAGGGTGGCCAGCTATAGAGACGCATATTCAAAAAGCTATACGGAACCATATACAATGCATTCTTTCTTAATCTGAAGAACCGTTTTACCATGCAAAGAACCATTTAAGCATGAAATGGTTCTGTTTAGAACTCATGGTTTTGATGTTGTGTCATGAACGTAGCCTTCAAATACACACTGAAGACCATGTTGTCTTCTCTCTTTTCATGGCAAGACAATAGAGAAGTTATGATTTTGGTCCTGTCAATGATTTTTCAGATATTCTTCAATAAACTGCATCTATAAATTGTCTTTTAAAGTTCATGATCGTATGTTTATAACTAACGGCAGCATTCACATATACAGTCATACGCAAAAGTTTGAACACCCCCACCTCCATCAAATTAAGTATGATTTCTTGAAAAACACATCCTATACAGAGAACACACTTCTGCACATTTTTATGAACTATTACTATTTATTTATAAGATATTAAAAATAAACATATTAAAACATAAAATGTGGTTTGTGCAAAAGTTAAGGCACATTTATATTTTGTTTTTTTTTCCAACGTGTTAAATGCAGAAAAATGCCATATTTAAGTTTGTTTTCTGTAGAGGATGTTTACTTATTTACACTTAGAAAATCAACAAATATGTCATTTGCCAGAGGTGGGGGTGTGCAAATTTTGCATATGGCTATGTGGTGCAAGTTTTTTTTTTTGTTTCTCAAAATCGGTTTCCTCTACATTCTGAACACAAAATCAAAGTTATTTTTATATATATGCATTTTATGTATTCGTTCCTGACCCTATTCTTAAGGATATTATAGAAAGATTTCCTAATACACTGGCTCATGTCTGAATTTATGCTAAATTATGTGCTACAAAGGGACCTGAAAAATGTTTATTTAAAAGCACGTATGGTTGAAAATTCAATGGTCTATTCTGTGTGAACAATTAAAAGAAAAATGTAAAAAATGAAGCTTTAGCAATGCTGCATCACTTCTGCACAGAAGGAGCCACACATGCTAAATGGAGAAGTTGTTTGCAGCTAATCTGGAGTTGCATGCCACCACAATTTGCGTGATGTTTTTTGGCTTGCGAAACTGAAAGGTCAGCTGTAAAAGCAACAGAGGCCAGCCTATTATTCAACTGTAATGTGTCAGCTTCTGTTCACAAATGAGCCCTCCTGGGAATCTTGCAGGAATTTGATGGAGGTCCCATGCAGATAAATTGCCATGACAGTCTTACTTGGATTACCATCACAGCAATTTACAGCAGCAATTTCTACCTTTATGTCCACTCTCCTTCCTTAACCCCTTTAATCCAAGTCTTATTACATACTAATGCTTATCATTCAGTAACTACAGGCACTTCAATGCAAACTGGCTGAGCTATTCTTATGTTATAGACATGTGTAATAACACTTTGGATAATTTATAAATAAAACTGTCCATTTAAGAGATTAATAACATCTCTAGACCCCTCTGGTGCTATCATAAAGCCGCTGTTGGGACAAAACCACATATCTCCATTTTTGTTGTTTTTTTGTTTCTGAGATAATTTGAAAGTACCTGTTGTTCTTTACATTGTGTGTAAATTTCATCCTGAATGGGCCAAATGAAATGGCCAAAAATGACATGGGAAAAATGTCTGGTTCCATTGACTTACATTAAAAGCAAAGTAGGTTTTTTCCCTCTACTGTAAAGTTACCATTGTGGATTTAAAAGGTTTTGTTCAGACAACAGTGATATTCTGATTGCTGGTTAATCCTGAGCAGATCCGGCCTCAGTTACTCTTCACTTTTTGGTTGTGTTATAACATCTTCACTGGCCTAGACACATTTTGTTGTAACTTCAAGTATGTATTGATACTACATTTGAAAATAGTTATATATAGCACTGAAATTAAACCTGAACTACTGTTACAATGTCAAGCTTGTAACAATAGGAGAACCTTTTTGTTGCTATATAGAACCATTCGTGCAAGCAACAAGTGTAGATAGGGATGCTACATTGTTGACACTGACACCCATCTCTTTTTCAATGAGAAGCAGGTCCACAACATCTCAGGACTGTTCATTTCAAACTGCTAGAATAAGAGCCAAAAGCACTCAGCCTAAATATTTTTTTAGGGACAGTCATTTCTGAAATGTGTGTTTGTTATGACAAAGCAAAACAAGCAGTA